CCTAGGACCTGTCAGTTTGGCGCGCGAGCGCTTAACCTCCAGACCACTAAGCCGGCGATGGAGGATGTGTTGCTCGATTCGCGGATTAGTTGAAGTTAGACATTAACACCGTTGGATTTCAGCTCAGTGGTTTAGCGTTTAAGCGCTCGTGCGCGAGACTGATAGGTCCTAGGTTTGAATTCCGCGAGGCAAAGCCATAGATGCGCACCACTGACGAGCCCCACAATAGGACGAAACGGCCGTCCAGTGCTTCCATGTTTCCCATCGTAATCTGGCTTCAACTGACTCATGATCTCGACTATTGAAATTACTGCAATCTCCACAATACTCCTTTCGATAATAATTCAAAAATTGAGACTACTTATGGAACTTCAGTCATGAATATGACGAGTTGTAAACTTTCCACAAGAAGTTACTGCAGTTGGCCTAGTGAAATCTACAAATACATGGCAAATGCAATTGAAACTAATAAACGTGAAATATATTTTTAAAATATAATATGCTTCGTCCGTAAACAACACAATTTTTCATAGTAGTATGTTGCAGTATAAACCTAATAAATATATCTTATACCAAAAGCGTTTTGAGTGCTTTGTATGAAATATATACGGATGGTCTAAATGAATATATACATGTTAAGTAACAAAAGTGTGAATCATTCATCAAAATAGTAAAATTCGCCTGGACTATTTTCAGGTACTGGACCACCCAATAGATTTGACGTATATAAGACCAGCTGTGACAGGTAGTAATGATCCAACTGCAACCATATTGAGCACGCAGTATTTCAACCAGTTCCTGGGTGTGCGTGTTACAAGAGTTTAGATAAACACTTGACTTCCAACGTATAAACAATCTGAAATGAGGTTAAGACAGCCTAAGATTCTGAGGCTTTGTCTTGGCTGTTTGGCAGTGTAACTCGAAAATTGGAAACAAGGCAGGCAGTGGTCGGAAGAAAAGATATTAATAGATAGTCCATAATTGAAGAAGAGTAAAATGTTAAGTGAAGAAACAAGAAGTATTAGACCAGGATAACGATTTAGTGCTTACTTGCATTTCTAGTCAATTTGTATTTACGTTAATCGCAGGCCATGGTTGCTAGTGCTTGATGTTTTAGGAAGTCTATTTCACTGAATCATATGAATGCTGCTAAAGCTTGTTTATGAGCAATCATAGCTAATAACATAAATGACCGGTTATTAGTGTCGACTGAGCTAGTAAGCTATGAGTACTAATCAGTATTACAATACTAGTATACATGTGAGTATTAATCAAAGGACTAATAGAATAATGGGTTAACACAAATAAAAATCGATTGAGAAAGTTGGAGTGGAAATGAGGACTAATATAAAGCTGCGTTTCTTTAGTCGGGCCTAGCAATGTGGAATTATGGTCCAGTTCGCTATTTGTACCGCTCTAATAGTAGACCTAATCCTAAGATTATAGACTTATCATAATGTGACTTCCTAATATATGTGATCATATGTGGACGTCCCATCGTTATCTACAGTGACTCGTTTTAACATAATTATCATAAGAAGTGTTTGCTCCAAACCACTTTTTCGAAAACCCCACACCATGCAGTTGAGTTGTGATTACTGTCGTAATCTTTGAACGTTCCTTTGGTCCAGCCTACCTTCAATTAACCGAGACCTTTAGACTAATAGTGTTGGTAGTGGGCCAGGTGAGAAATTAGTGTCAGCCAAAAGAGTAACGAAATTGATAGGTGCTATCGGTAGGTATTTTATAGAGGGGTAAAGAAGTTAAAAAATGAGTTCGGCGGCTTGATCATTAACAGGAGACAAACGTGTAGCATTATACATCCGAACGGTATGATCAACGTTGTAGCTACACAGTAAAATCTTGCGATTTTCTCTTGTACCTACAGTCATTGTACATCTACTGCAGTGACCGGTACTGACTTGTGTCTGTTTCGCTAAACAATATTTAGAAGTTACAAGTATAAGCATTTGTCAGTGAAAGAAATGTTAGATAAAATTATTATTGGTATGATGAAAGGATGTGACATCACATTTAGGAAAGTCAATGAAATTCTGGATCCTTTTGGAATAGCGATTCCTGGAATTCCGACGTCTGTCAGAAGTGCTTCAGTCGTTGCTACAAAATGGAACCAAAATTTCTGGACACAGGTGCGTACTACTAACATAGACTGCAGAAAAGAAGAAAGTGACACGGCTAGCAGAACAGCTGCAAGAACGAGTGTTTAAAGGGGAGACGAGTGTGGTGTGTGCTACTGATGTCGATAGATATACGTAGTGTGTATCACCAATCGAAAGTGGAATCTCTGGCTGTGAAAGGTTGAGAAGCTCGAAGACAAGAGAATGAGGACAGAGAGTGGTCGATTTGGAAATGAAGGAACAATAAAGTCTGAGAGAATTGATGTCATTCTGCAAATGAAGCATTTCGTTTATGGTTCTCAAATTTTACTAAGAGATTTCACAATTTTGTATTCAAATATATTTAGTTGTCCCCATTCGTGTTCTCGTTCATTATACTACCTCATTGGATTGAAATCTAATATTTTGAGAACTTCAGAAATGTAGCTGAGCAATAGCGAATTCAGTGAATTGAAATTACGACTAAGCTATGATGGCTTGTTGGCGTCTGGAAGTTCTAACCTACACTTGTGGCCTATCATACATTGTATTGTAGCCGCATATCTCAGTCACGCATTCTTGGTTGATGTCCACGGTGGTGAGATAAAACCAACTGATTCAATCTCAGTGTCCGCGCCTATTGTAACGGAGTGCTTACAGTAGGCCTTAACGCTGAGAAATGAAGTTAGTCGCCATGATTTGTAACAATCCCGCTTATAGTAGCCTTAGGTATCTTGTTGGACGTAATGGTACCGCAGGTTATGACGATTGTGAGGCTTTAAATGTTTACTTTAGTGGACGAATGTCTTTTCCCAATGGCGAGCACGACTCAAGAAGAGGAGTCACATTTCGCAGTTAGTCTCAAACTATTTATCTTCCTGGTAGGAGTGTATCCAAAAAACTATCTGTAGATATGTTGAAAGTGGTTCCGTCAGAACTGATGCACCTTATAGAATTTGGAGTATTTCTTTATGGAATAATCTAACGAGAACGGGAATAAAGCGAATGAATGGGTCCCTTTTCATATCCATTAATGCAGCCATATTGTGTAGTAGACGACAAATAACTTGTGATTTATGAAGGAAACATCGTTCATTTCATGAAGTTTTTGATTGGAAAGCAACCTAATGTGGGTTGCTCGTATCATATTTGGGTCTCGTATTTCTGCATGATAGGTTACCACTGGCACAGCATAGGAATTTTCTTTGTCTATTATTATTCATCCACTCAGTGTTCTCCAAAAAAGTGTGCGATTATCTTGATAAATTTTTTGTCGGTTTACGAAATATATCATGATAGGAAACACGTAGCATATGATGTGCACAGTTTAAGTCCATTGCTAACCATGTAGTTAGACATATTTGCTTAGAATTATATTCTGCTCTTTTGAATCATATATGAGAAAAACTCGCTGTTCAGTACCCCGGGGGTTCGCTGTGGCTAAACAGACTTCTCAGTGATATGGCGAAGAAGTCCGATGAATCAGGACATATAAACTAATGTGCATAAGTCTACAGTGAACTGTGGTTTCTGAAAAGAAATAATCGTTTGCAGGGGCTCAAAGATTTTTATTACTAGGCCTAACATTATAGTTATAGCGAATGGGAAGTCTGATTTTATTACACAAAATGTAGAGAGTGGCAGGACTAGGTTTTGCCCATGCACTAAACCCTCAGTTATCTTCACTGACCTGTTTCATTCCGGTAATGTAGGCATATATAGATGCTCGGCAGTTAACCACAAGTGTACGTGGATTATTTTACCAGATACATTTTGTAGATGTGTCTCAATCCTTACACAATCTCACGAGGTTATTACCCTCATCTTACACACTATTTCTTAGATGGGGTGACATAATTTCTCAAATCCTGTACCATGTGTACTGTAGGAGCTGCATTGGGAGAACAAAATTAATATGATCAGTTAGTAAATTGTAACGGAAGCTTATCGAATTTAAAGGGACGAAATTGTCCGACATCATTTGTAATTATCATCGGAAAAACACGAGCGCTTGTTCAGCTTATATACCAAAGCATGAGCTGGTTATTATTCATAGCATACATGGAACCAAAAGCAAACTGAGCACAACTGACTACCGATTCTATAGAGAAATTCGCTCTAGGTCAAGATAAAAGCCAACATTCTTCGTCAGAAGTTCTGTGTTCGCGGTTCAAAGTGCGACCTGTCTCGAAAGCGAAGTAACTTAAGCGATGAATGTTGTAAGCCAGATTTTCTTGAAAGACTTCAGGGATAAACTTAATAATATCAACCCTAAAGATAGAGTAAGCCGAATAAATTCCACATTTATTCTTAAATATGCGTATATTATACTGATTTTTGTGATTGGCTTGTCTTGAAATTACTGTTTACCGTGTATTTCCTTTTCATCTGGCTTCACAACTACTTACCAACATAACTGTAAGTCTGCAATTGAAGCATTTTTACATTACCTTCCGTACGTATCACATGGCGCTGTGGTTCAGGGGCTAACAGGTAGTCTCGGGAAGCATAGATTTCGGGTCCGTTGCTTGATATAACACTAAGCACTTGTTTGTCTATTATCAACATGAGAACTGTCTTGTATTACGTTTAATAAACAGAAGACCAACTCTTATTTTCTGTTTGTAAAGCATTAAGCATTGAGACTGATCATCATGATGTTCAATCTGAACTCAACAAATAAGACAGGTGGTCCAAGAGTTGAAGCTTAGAAACCAATCCTAGAGAGTATGCTAATGCACACCGGGCATAACAGTGGTTACCAGTACACTATCAACAGCACTTTGCAGTCACATGTTTAGGAACACCGATCTACCCTTTTTATCCGTGAAGTCTGTAAACGTTTGTTTGAACCCACTAAAATATGATATAGCGGTGGAGATTGCACTTTTTCGTCTGTTGGAATCGCGACTGCAACTGTTATCATGTTTAACCGTCTAGTTTAGGTTGCCTGATTATCTTAATTCTAGGCTTGTGTTGCTCTCACTTGTTTTCTTAAATTGTTAAATGTCAGCGCATACTGTTTACTTGCTTTTGTTTACTTATCGGTTACTTACTTTTTATCGTTAACGTTATGCAGTACTGCACATCACCATGCAACATTCAATATATTGTTCCAATGTAGAAACAAAATTATCAAGCACCTAAAGTTACGACGAAATATAAGAGGGATCTACGGCCGCTCATGCAGAGACTTTTAAAGAAAGTCAAATTTTGCTTCATTATGCTTGAACGTCGCTCAAACTAATTTTAGAACTGAAATATTTTGATTAATAATAACCACTAAATACACAACTGTTTACTGCCTCAACCTGAGAGGTTCCATTGATCAAAGTTGCATATCTTCCTCTTGCCTAGTGACTACAGGCCTGTAGTGAATCTCGAATATGAGAAAGGTGGATGGCCTGCGAGTGGTCTTTACGACATGTAGCATATGGAGCATCCTGGATCAGCTGGGATAGCAATCCAGATCTGTGGTAATCTTACGAATTATTTCAGTGTGCTAGTAAAAAGTTCTATATGAGACGTACAGCAGTTGACTATCGGGATGGGCAAAATGAGTGATTGCTATCTCTGATTTCTGTGAAAATATGGCAGCTCGATAACTTGGCATTTGAGATCGGACGTGATCATTTCTTGGTTTCTGAATCCCAAAAGTGTGGCATGACTTTATGTATCAGTTTGAAATATGACTTTCTAGACGATCTGTTGTTTATCAAAGTCCTCAACCTTAACATATGAGCAACAATTTTCTTATCATCTTGGGAACATTAATTTCGTTATGTGAACTATTGTACATGTGGTTAAAATTGTTTTAAGGCTTGACTTAAAGAATTCCAAGAATGCGGGGGGATTCTCTTCTTTCTGTTGTTAAAGGCACGTTAGTTTTCCAGTTACAGGAGAATATTAATATTGCCCGCCTTGGTGGTCTAAAATACGTACTAAATGTATTGTGCGAATCTGGACACGTGATTTTTCTCATATTCTTTTCAGGAGAAAATATTTCCTTCGTTGATCGTCATTTTGTTAGTCTTATTTCCTTGTTACTGTAACAAACCAAAACGTTCGTTCACTGTCGACTACTACAATCATGTGTTTGTGAAAGATGATGCACCTTTTCAATATGTTTCCGGAAGTATACATTATTTTCGCATTCCGGAACAGTACTGGCACGATCGACTTTTGAAAATGAAGGCTGCTGGGTTGGATGCCGTTCAGATGTGAGTATTAAATGTCTAATACTAGTGTTTGGAATATTCATGTTTTTTCTTCAATTTTCTACTTTAAGACTATTTGCACGCCTAGAGAAGTAGCACCAACAGGTTTATGAGATTTTTGCCAGTAGTGTAGTGATTATTAACTAGGTATAAGAGTGGTTCTTGCATTGAATAAGTGGTATTAATAATTTTCGGAGTTTTTATCATGTTTAGTTACTGTTGTATTTGCTAAACCTATCGCTATAATTTGCTCTAAAAAAACAGAAGGTATCAACCAGATAATGTGATATCGTGAATTTTGAGTTTGTTGTAAAGGGAATGGCTGACATGAGTATTTGTACTGATTCTGAAATAAGACAAATGGTGTTTTGCGATTATTATGTTGGTGTTGATGCCTTTTATCTGACATAATTTGCGAATAATATTACTAACACATGTATTCAGTGGTCGACTTTTATTTTACTCAGTTACGTACCATGGAATTTCCATCAGCCCGAAAATGATGTATATGATTTTGATGGTGATCGGAACTTGGGAAGGTTTTTGGAGCTGGCTTCATCTTTAGATCTGTTGGTAATTGCACGAGTCGGACCATATATATGTGCTGAATGGGATTTTGTGAGTTTGAAATACCAATGCGTTACGTATTTAGTGTTTCATTCACAACGAATTCTACTTCTAAGCAGTGAATCTGTGCTTCGTTTCAGGGTGGCTTACCAGCTTGGCTTTTGCGGTTTAATCCGTTGATGAAGTTACGCTCCAGTGATCCAGGTAATTTGTAATTGATGCTAAACTAAACTGATCACATAAATTACAAAATCATATGTATATTTTAAAGATGATGTGAACCCAGAGATTATCAGATTCAAAGTGGAATTTATCTTGTTGAAACAGCTTAGGCAGACGTTTCTGGCTCTTACTATTATCCCTCTGGATCTACATTTGTATCATTTTCTATGTGTAGTAGTAGTTTTATGGGTAGTAATTTATTGTGCAAAGTACTTGAAATTTAAAAATGAATGAATTCGTAGTATATTTTTGAACGATATATATGATTGAGGTCTAGAAAGGTACAAACTGAAGTCTTATATTGTTCAGTCAGTCAGCAACAACGGAGAACTTATATTGTTAGTTACCACTTACAATTGTCATCCCTCTTTCAGTTCATGTTTTTAGTTATAAGATGTTTGATAAGTAATTATTCATACTAATTACACCTGGGTTATTAAGCAATACACTATCTAACGATATAGGGATATGATAATCAAAATTACCAAGTGACTTGTTGAAACTAAGTAACAGGGACAGTGTTTTTCTGAGAAATCTTAACTGTAACGAAATTTATAGCGCCAGACAAAGCCACTATTTTCATCACTATCTTATAAAAGCCGCAATATAATTTTAGGCTGGCTTTTTGCTACACCAAACTATTCTGATCAGTGTCACCAAGCTTACATGTTAACTTCCTGCTTTTCTTTAAATGGCGGTTCATTGTCTGGGGATCCCTAAAGTAAATGGTACATCACAGGAGCTAATGAAATAATACATGGTTTCTAAGTGTACCACATTTCAAAGCTACGAATAGCCGAAGTTTATTAGACTAATCATAGTAACAATTCCAATAAATACAAATATAGAAATAGTGTTAATGGTGGGTACGACATAGCTGTTGTGACGTTTCAAATGACGCTAAATGAAGGTTACAACTATTGCTTTCAGTCACTTATGAACCGTCTACTTCGGTTTTTATTTAAGTTCATACCGTATCGAATAAAATTTGTTACTTGAATAGCATTAAGTTGACAGTCGGAAATTTCCACTTAGTACTAACTTGATTTAGGAACGCGTCTACTCATGAAGACATCATATGTAGATATTTGTAACGGCACTGACTAGTGTGTTGCGAATTATTAAACCAAACTGTGAAGTGATTGTAAATGCGGAGGGAATTTTTGCCTAATTTGTTTGTATTCACTTTTACTACACTCACCATAGCAATTACAGTTGAAACAAATCATTTTTAATTGGTATTCTTCAACAGAATATATGAAGTTTGTGACGATGTGGTTCAATGTTTTGTTACCGAGTATGAAACGTTTCCTCTATGAGAATGGTGGGCCGGTAATTATGGTGCAGGTAAACTACTACTTTATTTAATTTCATCATTGGTTTCGGGATTTAACTAATGCATTCTCAGTTGAAGGAGTCAGAGTCAGGTGACAGAGTCATTATGAGGTTTCAGTAAAACCAGTGGGTGATTATGTCCATCATGTAAACCACAGATATGCTTTACTGATGGATGCCTTCTTTTACCACAACTTTTATGGAATTCTTGACGGTTTGTAAAAAAGGAGAATATTTTCTTTTATGAAATTCGATGTTGGATTTTTCGATATGTTCACGTTCTTAGTCCGCATGTTGGGAATCTTCAGACATTTAACCAAACATGTCACTATACAGACACCCAGTCGATTCTTAATAACCCATATGTTTCAAAGTCGATCTGAATTATTATAAGGAACATCAAATAAAAGCAGAGCGACCACCTAGATTGAGTATTTAAACTAGCCTGACATGATAATTTTAGTTTTGTTGTGCAATATTAATCGACTGATATTTAATCTGACTAGGGACTTCAAGATTGTCGAGTTTAAAATTCTGTTGATGTTAGGTTGTCACTTGATGAACTTTTACTTATTAGTGATCACTCAACGTTTTTTGGAAACTCAGAGACTTTGATTTGTTAAATGTCCACTGAGAATTACACTTTTTGAAGTCCATCAGATCAAACCGAAAGTGGGCGTTCTGTTACGAGTTAAATACCAAGCAACCAAACATTGGAAGCTTTGTATAATTATTCATATTTGACTTTTACTGAGTCTAGAGCCAATAGTTCAAACCGTTACGTATGATATATTCTCTGATACCTCAACATGAAGCAAAACGGTTTCGAAAATCTACCGATCATTAATTTGCATTATCAACCACTGTTTAATATCTTAAATATTTTTATTGGCGTTTTTGCATTTATCCGTCTTCAGTTGGAAAATGAATATGGCTCCTATTCAACATGCGACGAAACATACTTAAAAGAGCTTTACAATTTAGCACGCTCACATCTAGGGGAAAATATCATAATTTTTACATCTGATGGTCCATCCAACAGCTTATTAAAATGTGGTTCATCTGACAAACGCTATCTAGCAACAGTTAACTTTGGTCCTAGTATGTTTCCAATTTCTTGATTTAAATTCTATGCTTTTTAAGTTTTTGTATTTATTTTGATACTGGATTATGCTATTCGGTTATTCCTTGAACACAGGTTACTTTCTAATCCGAGGTAAAACACGGCATTGACCAGGATTATTTGGATTTGTCACATACTGAAATGTTTTGTGTTGTTATTAATCGCGTGTGTTGAACAAAGTTATTTTCACTTTGTTCCGATTTCCTTACTAATTGATCTTCCACTTTTTTCTCGCTTTGTAAAGCAACTGCTCCTGTACTTGAGGTTTTCAAAGTATTGGAGGATTTCCGACAGAATCAACCCTGGGTAAGTGTTGATGAATATTTATAATAGATGGATTAATAACATTTTTGAAAGCCAAAACACTTATTACCAAATAGGTTAGCAGTGTGTTGATCTTTACTGTGCTTTTTAGGTTAATCAAAGACAACATACTATTTTTGTGTGTGGCTCAAACTAAATTTAATTTATTTCCTGAAGTGAACATGAATTGTTATTGCTATGATTAAAAACATCAATTTCAAGATTTGTTGATGAATACCGAATTTATTCTTTTTCATGACTATTTCCTCTCACTTTGTAAGTTATCGAGGATAATAATATCTCTTTAGAAATAAATGTTTACCACCTTAACCCACTGGTATAAGAGCTTTAAAGAGTTCATTCCCTTCATGTAGTTTGTGCCGAACTTTTAAAATGATCACATAAATATTACCCATACTTCTGAGCGCAAACTTATAATGATTGGTCTACACCTAATACTGACTAGATACTTACCCGTAAGTGACTTTTCTGTCTACTGAAATAGGCTTAGCAATAGGCTGTTCTCGATTTAATTAGCCCACGGCTATGGTGTTCAAATTAAATCATTAGTGATTCAGGCTGGGTTCTCTGTATAGTCTGGTTTTATTGACGTTGCTGTTAAAACAAAAAAGCACAACTTATTTCTACGATTTTTTGTATACTTTCTCCAACTATCAAACAAATACAATATATCGCTATCTTGAGTCACTGGTTGTATGCCATACTTGACCAAAAGAACTCGGTCAAAAATACTATTTAAACCTACCAACAAATTGCCGCATGTACTAAACAGTGAGCTTCATTTTCATCATGTCTTCGAAAGGTAGAAATTCATGGCTGTTTAACGTGGTCATTAATTATTAAATACAATGTAATTTATTTATAGTGATGAACACTAGTTAAAATTATTGATACCGACATAATGTTATACTGTTCACTTATCTACGTATGATTTAAGAAAAAATATGAAACAAGTTTCACAACTTTTATGTCATAATTCATAACCGGTGTAACCTATATATGAATTCATCCAAATTAATGGTAATATTTTGATGTTAATTTATTATGAAAAATATTTACTGGTGAATAATGAGAAAATTAAAGCTTTGGAAATGGTTTATTTATTATTTAGTTATTATCCATGCAACACGAAATATATGTTAATTATTTTGATTGGTTGTACAAGGGTTGTCATGATTGTGAGCCAAAATAATTGGGAACAATTCTATCGATTTAAATGACAGATGTAGTGGCAACTGGATATGATTGAAGAACTTATATTTTATTGTTCATAATTTTCGATGATCAAATATGATATCTAAAACTGATGGGGTCTAGGTAACGAGAAGCCTTCAAAGAAAATATTTACTGTTACACTATCAGGATTCTGTCACAGAAATGTCAAGCAGGAAGAAGAGTTTCTATAAATCATAACAATAGTCTAGTACTAAAGAGCTCTTTCTACATAATCTGCCCTCTCAAAGTGAAGTGCAAGATTTCTAGACCACTTCAATGATAATTCTGTTTAGTCTGATGTAATTTGATGGTAGTTTCCTACAACCATTTGGTAACCGTAATTGAATGAGCTCAAAAATCAGGATTTTTATACTGACTGTACTAGATTGTGATACGAAAGAAACAGAACCTATTTGTATGATAGCTTATGCTGACTTAGTTCAGTTAGTCAATTAGCTAGTACATTTTTAGCAGTAATTACTCCTAGTTCATTTTAATAATTGAGTCTGAAATCTACAAGTCATGTAATTTTTAACTCTGAGGAACTGAAGCGGCTTTATAATAACCAATTCACTATTGTGATGATGAAATGTTAACATATGAACGAATTTTTATTTCATGTTATAAGGTAAATAGTGAATATTATGTTGGTTGGTTAGACGTGTGGGGCGGGGATCACCATATTACTAATCCTGAATGGGCAGTGGATGGACTAAATCATCTAATCAGCTATTCAATGAGAGTCAATGTAAATATGTAAGTTAGTTTTCGCTTTATTTATTTTGAAGTCTATCAATTTGTTTTCTTCTAGGAAAACGAATGTCATCTTGTGTAACAGCTTTTCATCAGCTTCCAGATTTCATAAATGTCTAGTCTAATTACTTTTCTAGGTAGCTACATGTTTGACGGTTGATTACTGACTACTATGATCAATTTGTAATCTCATAACTGAAGCTATAACATTTCATCGTACTTCTGCAATACATATGTAACATTGTTTCCATTTATTCTACACTTCAGGAAACTTGATTAGTGTTTTGTTTGTCATTAAAAATATTTTACTACCTAAAAGTGTAGTATAATTTTATTTTTTAAATCTGCTTACATTTCATCGACTTCTGGTTAATCACTGCAGGATGTATATAGGAACTTAGCACATGTGGAATCTGCTTTAGATGTATTCGCAACGACTGAAATTATTTATAATTCTCAGTCCGCTTCTCTTATTCAATGATTTACTTATCGGAATACTTAAGTTGATGTAAACTGACTGAATTCAGGCTTCAAATCATTAGTGTGGACTTGGCTAAATAAGTGATCATCGTTTTGATTTTCAGTGACAAGTGTTGTATAGTGAATCAATTTATTTCTCATTGACGAGGAAACCAATATTTCATTTCGTCAGTTGATTTTAGTCTTAATATTTGTGAATGGATTTAAGTAAATCCTCATAAATGTAAAGTATATATGATGACACAGTGTAAATGATAAAATGTTAAAGAGTACAACCATGAATAACTTATTTCTGTAAAAGAAACTCATCTCGTTTTTGCAGAAATTATAAAAGAAGATCGCAACAGAATCGCCTTTGACTTCTACTCTGAGCCATATCGGATAACATCTCAAGCCACTGAATTGCACTTTTTCTAGGACACCAGCCAGGAAGTCATGAGAGACCAAGATATGCCAGTTCTACACGGCTTTGCTTCTTACCACGGCTCCATTTCACGAACTGACTATTTGTTCGCTTTCAACCCAGTCTCAGCTTTGGCAAATAATGCATTGTGTGGAAGTCACTGCTACTACATCCGTAAAACATATCCAATTCACAGAGGCACGTGTTTCAAGATGATGCCACCAATTGAAATATAGTCACTGTGTTGAAATACACATTGTTGAACCATAACATTACTAATATGGTGTTGTCATTGCATGTCATTGACCCTCCTGAGACAACGATAGTCGAACATCGGGTCGTCGAATGCCCTCGGCCTAAAGGTCGAGTTTTAAAAGCGTTGTAAACCGGACATTTCAAAGCTCCAAAGGTGGCTAATATTAGTATGAGTCACTCTGACTTTCACTGTCCAGATTAGTCGCATCAGTCAGGCTACCAACACACACAACTGCCCGGTTACAAGAACGTTCTGATTACCTCTCAAACGTCACTGTCTAGTGTGAATGAAGGCAAATTTTTTAGCCATTGAAGCACATGATAAGCCAACAGCAAACCACGAAATGATCAGAGTCCAGATTAGCATTCCAAAGGAGCAGGAGTTTTTTTACATATCTATGGCAGCGGCAGTTAAACATTGTGTGACCAATCTAAGTACAAGCTTCAGTTTCAGAGGGAGGATGCCGCATCGTACATCAGATATTTAAATAGGAGATTGTAGAAGTTAAGTCTCTATTTTCACAGGTGAAATCACGAGTCGATATAAGCTAGACCACCATTTAAAACCTGGAAGTACTGGACGGCCGTTTCGTCCTACTATAGGACTCAGCAGTGCGCATCATCATTTATCCGCTATTCATAATCCTTGCCGAGGTATGGTGAAGTGCTAGATGCCAAGATATTTCTCATATTTTAATACATAGTATTATCTGTGCTGAATAGAAGGGGAAATGAGAAAGCTCATACGAATAGTAAAAATAGCTAAACAGTTCCTTTTTTCTTGTTTATCTGATTTTAGTGTTCAGGATACAATTCATGTATTTGGAATGATCATACATTTTGATTCTTTTGTCGTTTGTGAAAATACTGTGTAGAAATTTAAATGTTAAGGTTTCATAGAGCTAAATGAGCGCTAATAAGCTGTATTTCGAGACATTATTCTTTTTTTTTAAAGGTATATGTTTCACGGTGGAACTAATTTTGGATTTTGGAACGGTGGTGCAAGACCTGAATCATCAATTACAAGTTATGATTATGATGCTCCAATCAGTGAAGCTGGTGATATAACAAGAAAATATATGATAATAAGAGATCTACTTTTCCGGGTATTTTTTTTCATGAAAATTTGACATAGAAATCCATCCTTTATCCCAAATTTATTTTAGTGTGGATAAATAGTTATGTTATAGTGTACAGCGTCTAAAATCACTAACTACTATTATCTGGCATGTTATTATCTAATCTGTCGAGAACGTGCCACTGGATCCGGGAAGCATACGAAAGTGGTTATATTAACAGGGGATAATGCTGAATTATTATGATAAAATACAATGACCAGTAAATGATGCATGTTGTTCGGTGTGACAAAGGCAAACCCTAATTTATGTTTTACAGTAAGATAATTGTATGCAAAAGTGTTTAGATTCGTAAATAAGTTCGGCAAATAAACAAACAGGAACCATTCAATTGTTCATTTCTGTTTATTGGTTGTCTTCAACTAATTTGATACAAAGACTGCACTTTGATTGATTGACAGGTTCGTAAAAAGACAGCTGTTATTGAGACTGAATCGAAAGTGATATCTTCATGTGGTATTCGTCAGGGTTGTTCACTTTCCCCATTTTCATTCAATTCATCATGGATGTTCTCCTAGAGAAAACACTTCATTTGACTTTTCGGGGGTTGATCTTCTATCAGGAAGTTCACTTATCGATTTATGTTATATAAATGATAGTCCTATTTGGTGAAGACACCACCACATTGCAGAGCTTTCTGATCGCCTTGAGTAATAATGCTAGTATGTTTGGGATGATTTGCTGTTTAATGTTTTGTTGATTCGCTTCTGTCAGTGGTGGAATTAACCTACCTGATTCCGCTCAAAATTTGTGGCGAGTACAATGTGTTTGAGTTTTATCTGGTCAAAGTTAATACGAAGTAAAGCCATAATTTATGGTTTTGTATTTATAGACATAGGTAAGTCATCAGTGAAGAACATTTGTTTTGATTATAACACAGACTAATATAATTTACGTAAGTATTCCTGATAAGATCTGTCGAATTTCCTGTCATTTGTTTTGTTCTAAGAGAAAAGGCACCGAACCACCGGAGTTACCAAGAAATACTACAAAGATTTCGTATGGTCGTGTTAATATGAAATTTGTAAGTCAATGTTTTCGTTTCATAAACGTGTCTTCAACTCAGAATTGATTTTGATTTCGAAATAAATGACTGCGTTTTATTGCCAGCCATGGAATTGTAGAATTGTTTAATCGATATTCAAGCTTCAGTTTCTAACACTATTCACTGGATAATTTGATGTCTTGTGTGTGATGTATATATTATTATCGGTTTAGCACATTTAATTTCACTCATTCGTTAATGTAGATTTAACAAATGAGGATTTCAGTCAACAGTTGTTGCAGTTTTATGCTCGAAGTTCTGTATTCCTCTCAGATTTGTATCTCTTGTAATGGGATAGAACAACAGAAATATAGTTTTATGGCTTTCGATTGTTAATGGAACAAAACTAGCTCACCGTTTTGTGATAAGTGAGCAACTCTATGTTATAACTCTGTATTCATACTTCCCACTTTTATAGCACAAAAGGTAGGGAATATAATAGTTATATTTCCACTAGTTATGTTAAGTTAGTTTCACTTTTCGTCGATTATTCTTTCTTTACTTTTCTTAGTTATACTTTTTGTTGTTGTGCTATTTTGAAGCATTCTGGTATTAAGTGTAGACATTATTGTATCAGTTAAGCGATCAGTCAAATTAATATAGAATGTGCTTTATCATAAATGCGTATTTCGATGTAGAAATATTGGGACTAGGGGTGCTGGAAATAGTTGTATTCATTAGTAGTGTTTTAGTAAATAAACAGTGACATGTTGTCTGTCAACATCAACTCTATTGTTGAAGGAAATCATGTTTTTTAATTTCCAGATATCAGTGAATCAGCACCTTGATTAAAAGTTAGATAGATGAACCACTTTTATCATTGGAATACCAAAAAGCAGTTGGAAAAGAAACTGTAGTTACTCATCATATGTTTCAAATCAATCTTCTTAGAAATTAACAGTGATGATTCATTGTGAAAAAAATTAACGATATAATTCGTAAATATCTTTCTTAGACATTACTTGTGAAAGACAGTTCACGAAGAAGACCATGAAAGTGGTTTTTACTCAATTTTACAAAATTGTCTTTAACAAAAACCAGTCGTAATGTTGTGAATAAAGACTTAGTAGGGAAAACCAATTTATTGTATAACGCAAAATTGCTCAATGGTGTCGTAAAATATGAAAATCATACACTATATACGTCTTTTGCGTATCTTTCTTGAGTTATCCTCTACATATTCCATAATTCTTCTGGTCCTCTGGCCCTCTGTTTTCCTTTCTCTTATTTCAATTTTCTGCTGATAAGCATTCCAGTTCCTGCTACGTACTACTTATACCTGTCCGCATAAGTAGCGCACACCACAACAGAATAGAAATAATTATTTTGTATGTTAGCCTCTTTTATAAGTTTCTCAACTGTTGTGAGATGACTTAGTTAATCTGGAAAATACTGTGTATTCGGTTGGACACATTTCAACCAATCTGACCAATTTCCTTTTCAAAGGCATCTTATATGAAAATAAGTTCTACAATTAAATCAAAGGTCAGATGAATTGAAAAATGATAATTGGGATGAAAAATAAATCAGAAATTACCAGGGCATGTCCAAGGTAGAGATAATTTTATAGTTTACTTCATGAGTCAATTAAATCTAGACTACCATAGAAAACCTGGAAGCACTGGACGGTCGTTTCGTCCTAGTATGGGGTCCCTCAGCAACAAGCACCCAGAACCTATCGGTCTCGCGCGCAAACGGTTAACCTCTAGACTACTGGACCGGCATCCAACGGTATTGTCTAACTTCAACCGATTCACGAAATTGCGCCGCCGTGGATGCGCACTGCTGAGGAGTGCCATACTAGAACAAAACGCCCGTCCAGTGCTTCCAGGTTTTCCATGATGGTCTAGCTTCAATCAACTCATCAATTCAACTACAGAATTACTAAAAATCTCCACAAAACCCCTTCTGATACTAATCAACATATGATCAATAGCGACTGACTTCAAGAGTTAAGTCCTGGAGTTCTAGTGAGAAGCAGTGACCAGTGGAGTAAAGATAATTGTGTGATCAGGCTTTTCTCAACTTGTTTATTTAAATACATAACAAAATGTAAACAACTTTTTATGTATTTATTTGGACAAAACTATTGTTACATAAGGAACACCAAAGTAAATACGCGACACAAATACGTGAAGGATGTTCTGAAGGGATAAAGGAAGGAGGGTCAGTATAATCAACAACAATAAATGCATGAGAATAAATGAAAAAGGGTAGTATATAACGGAAGAGACAGTCTAGTTAAAAAGGTACTATCAGGAGGCATTTTCGACAGACGTCTCTTTGTTGGGGATGTTAGATCCCCAGAACTCACTTGGTAAATGCCTTAATTTTATAATTTTATTTTTGAGACTTAAATTTCCTTGTTTTCGCGCCAAAAGCGCACTTTTCACCTTCATGTCGTATTTCCCACTTGGGAGAATCTTTAACCCTATTGGTCTGTTGTGTATTTTTAGTATGCTATTTTTGCTACGCTTCCCAAGGACAGTTTTATGGTGTATATATACGTTTGATTTGTGTCTGTTATTGTTCACTCGAGCTTCTGGCTTACGGAATATACTTTCCCGTTCCAAGCTTGGACTTCTTCCTGTAGTTAGCGGGGCTGGGACGCATCAAATAGCTAGCTTATTGGTCTACGGTCATAAGTTTTTGTTCCGTTCGCATACTAAGCGAACTCGTAATAGCTTCAGACCTAGCACTCTTCAAATTACACTTTGGAAATTCATAATGTGAGTGTGGAGTGTTTTTAGGTGTACTCATTGAGGTTGATGATTAGTTGTTTGATTCACAATTTAGCTAACATGTATTCTTTTTATTCATTTGATAACAAAACTAAAATGTTAATAAATTTATTTCCATTGGTCGTTTGAATTTTTCCATTGATGCTTGACTGGGATTGATCAGTCTCTTTTGGCATATGTTCTTCCAGTGCGGATCCCTTCGATATTACCGCTAATTCATTATTATAGGTGCTGGCTGGCAGTGGGCTCCAGGATGCGCACTTCGTCCTGTTTGAGACCCAGTTGGACGTATCCTAACGTCACAGTTTGTTATGACTTACCTTATTAATGATCACGTGACTAGATCGTCAAATTTAGGATGCAGGTATATCCACCTTAGGAGTTCCATATAGGACGAAATGCGTTTTCTGAATCCCATTGTTAGCCATCATACCTCTGTATTTGGGATATTAACTATTGAGTCTATTAGATAGACTGAAAGGTTATGTTTCACTAGTAAGTGAAATGATGATCGGTGTACAACGGTAGAAAGTCTTAACTATGAAAGTGAGCGGTCTTACTTTGGTCTATGGATTGGTTTTTAGAGCAATTAATAATTATCGTTTCGAAATCGGGTGTATATCATTAATTTGTGACCAAACCTACCTAATAATACTGCTTTTATTGTTTTTAAATATTTAGGAATCTCATCTTCTAGAAAATAAAGCTCCTGTTACTCATTCTGCGTTTCCTCTGATTATGGAAAGTTTGCGACAGGTAAGCTGCTTAACGTATAGTTTTCTCGACTTTTGATGAACTCTTTGGTACCTGAATCCACTATCTGTTGCGATTGTCTTGAGATTTATTTTTGACAATGTTTCTGAATGGCAAATACTTTTAAAGAAGACTGACACATTGCTAAAAGATATTATGTAGTTTGGTTAATATTATAAACTTGGATGAGAGATAGCGATAATAAAAATATAACTATATGTCTATATGACTTCCATTTGTAAAAAATTCCTGAAATGTTTGTGTAAATCTCAAGTATCTACGTTAGTGTATTGTGGTTGACTGCGTTACTTTCATGTATACAGCTTTGAAAACGTTCATGTACTCAAATATCAATGAGGATCAAATTCAAATTTATAAAAGATATGCGTAGTAGTTATAAAATGGAATGGTGATTAGAAGCAATTTTAATGGGACGTCTGCAATAAATAGTAAATTACAACTATCTATTATTGGTTTTTCTTTGTACATCGTACAGGTAATGTTAAATACAAATGAAATAAAGCATACTGTTATTACGCAGTTTATGTACATGTTTAAAGCCTTTCACCAAGATTATAAACATTAATCAGGTGGTTCTCTACTGTACTATGTACGTTCACAGCAATATACTTCCTTAACCGTCTAGTTGTCATAGGATTCTGCTGAAAAATCAGTACTTTCATATTATTATCATTTCAGTAATGTGTTGTGTTTTACCAACAAATATCCTACCAAAATTTTGTAGTATTTCATTATATTGTTCTTGCATGAAATATTCATCTGTGCACAGGAACTAATACATGACCCTAGTCCTTGAATATAATGAATATTAGACTGAGCCATGTGCATGAGTGCGGACTACCTGGTTGGGGTTTTGGTGATTTTCGTAACCAAATGGTTAGCGACTTTGAGTGACGGGGTTCATAACTGTTCGCACCAACTACATTCACTTCATGTCTTTCCTTAGATCCTAAGTATCTAAATTACCTTACAAATCTTTTTATTTCACTAACTTAATTTTCCTCTTCGAATCGTATCTTTGATGCCTAATCTTTCCCATTACCACTAATACTATTATTACCTCTTCTACTCTGGGATTTGCCCTATCAGTTTCATCTCTCTGTTTTAATGGGGTATGGAAGAATTGAACCGATTTACACTCACCAAGTTTTACATTGTTTGTGGCTGATTGGCTAGCAGTAATTAGATCTGACGTCAAGACAGGATACATAATTGAGTGAGACGGTCTCTATACAGAATTCAAGTATTATTCCATCAAATCTGGTTTTTCTTTTCAGCGAATTTCTTTTTTAATTGTTGAAGATAGAATTCCTCGTTATTTTCTCGTTGTGCCACTTGTTCATCTTCATCGTTAACGAAGAGTTCTATATGAACCTAATTTACAGAATTAATATTTCAAGTGAGTTATGATTCCGATGTCTCGTGTATGGAAATGTTCAGGTATGTAACATAAACTAGCAAATACCAGGACTGCATATTCATACCATTTTTTCAGTTGGTTGTAGGGAAGGATTCTAACTTGATTCACTTAAAAATCTTAGTGGCAATTAAAACTGGAACAAGTATAAGACGAAATTCTAGCATGAAAAAGAATTTTTTAAGATGATTTATACTCTGAAATGCAAATATTTGCTATCAAATCTTCATTGTTAACAATAATTTTTTGTATTTGTTTTTATCACACACTGTTGTAGCGTATTTTGTACGTTACTTGATGATTTTTTGATTTTTTTCAGTATGACGGCTTTATGATTTATTCAGTCACTGTAACAGTCCCACGCAATGGATCTATTTTTCTGGAGTTCTTTGGTATCTCAGACATAGCGCATATTTATACTGGAGATAAATCTGGGCATTATGTAAGCATTTACTTCGATGACTGTGAAGAATCTCTTTATTCACAGTTACGTAAATATTTATACATAGCCTTGATAACTGAACATCAGCGATATTGAATACAATAAATATTCACATAACTAATGGAAGAAAATGTCTCACTTTATTCTTTCAGCCATAGAATCGGTTTCTACTATCAGTACCTCGAAAAGTTTTCAGCAAATTGTTTTTGAAGTGAATGAATGATTCAGTGGACGCTCAAGTTTGAAACCGATAGGCTGGATTTCGTAAGGATTGATCTTTTACCTACGAAATTGCGATACTCCCAATCATAGCTAACCATTAGTTGAATGGAATCCGTTACTTTACATCAACTTCCTTGACTATGAGAAAGCGTTTGACGGTGTGGACAAGAAAATTTTACGGAACATTTTGACACTGGTATACCTGAGAAGATTATCACTATCAAACGAAATTCATACGACGGATCACACTGAAAAGTCATCTATGGAAGATAGCTGATAGATGTATTCCAAGTGAAGAGCGGTGTCAAACAGAGCTGCTTACTCTCACGGTTTTTCTCTCGGTGGCTGAGTGGATTATGAAAACCTCCACATCTCAGGGGAAGCACTGAGTACAGTTGACAGCTTGATTACTTCTGGATGACTTGAACTTTGCATATGACCTAGTCCTTTCCCAAAAATACTAACAACTGCAGAGAACAGACATTGTAGCGGCAACTTCTGCACCAGGAGGCATCAATATACACAAGGGATGAGGCAATATCTTAAAATGTAACACAGTGGCTACCAAATCACACTTGATAGGGAAGTTCTGGAAGAGGTGGGAAGTATTACGTACCTGGACAGCATCACCGATTAACAGGAGGGATCTGGTGCAGATATAAAAGTAAGAATTGGCAAATCAAGGGCAAGATTCTTAGAACTGAAGAACATATGGAACTCAAAACAACTGTCAGCCAACATCAAAGTCAGAATCTTCAATACGAACGTCAAGATAGTTCTGTTGTATGGATCTGAAACTTAAAGAACTACTAAACCATCATAAAAAAAAGCTCAAGTATTTGTGAGCAATTGTATACACAATATATTGAATGCCCGCTGACCGAATACCATCAGCAACAGCCTACTGTCGGAGAGAACAAACCAGTTTCCAACTGTGGGGGAAATCTTGGAAAAATGCCGGCAGTCGATGAATCACATTTAAGGGAAATTATCATAAGACACGCCATAACTTGGGATCCTCAAAACAAAAAGAAAAGATGTAGACCAAAGTATGCATGGGGCTGGAATTAGGCAGACATCAAAGGAATGAATAGCGACTGTAAACAAATAGAAAAGATTGCCCAGGACAGAGTTAGATGGGGGAATCTTAATGGAGGGCTTATGTTCCTCCACTGTGGGTAACAGGCGTAAGTACGTAAATAAGTAAACTATCATCAGTATAGTGTTCTGACACCTATGGTGCCTATGAAGTGTATCTCAAATGTATTTATCCTGTAGAAAACAGTTTCAACTTAAGATCCCTAATTAGGATATCCTGGCTACCTATAGAGATGGTTGTGAATGCTTTATTTTCTCTTCGTTAATACGACTTTGTTCACAGTCTTTGTGTTCTCCTTTTGTATAATTTGGTAGTTTTGGAATTGCTTTAATATTTGAATAAATTCATTTTTGTCAAGAAATCATAATTTTTTGATGTGTGTATCTACTTAATTTTAGTGCTTTTCAAGTAAATTTCCATTGGTAGGGGGCCAAACATACGGTTATTAAATTCGATAGATTTTTGAGTTTGACTTGTAAAGGTGATACTTTATCGATGCGGACACACTAACCGAGCTATTCATTATTCTCATTTATGTTAGCATCAATAAATTACATTTAATTATGGGCAGTCCGAAATTTCATACTCTAATTGTCTTTTTTTTTTACTTGTATTTTCGTCAGAGCTGTTCTCGTTATATTACAAATTTTAAAAATGCTTTTTAAAATTTTTTACTTAATTAGACATTTCATGGCTCAATACGATATAAAAATAGAACGTTTCAATTAAACAACATGCATGATGTAAGTAACCTTACTATAATTGCTGAAAATGCTGGACATATTAATTATGGATCTAACATGTATTCGGATGTAAAGGTAAGTCGAAGAATGCATTATCTCCTTATTTTGTGCCTTAATAATGAATCAAATCATTGTAATCGTAAAATAATGCTCTCATACTGTGACTTATTACTAGACGCCGTCACACTGTAGTTACCGACACCACAAATGGGGAAAATCTATTGTGTTTTAAATACAAAATTACCGAGTATCTTGGTAAAATATAAAAATCATACAATGAATACTTCATTTGCGAATTTCCATCAGTTGTCCTTCACATTCTGTACGATTCTTTAAGTTCACAATTCCTTTCTATTCTCTTCACTCGATCTTCTTAGCCTTCTGCTACCAGGTTTTCCATTTCCGATTGGTGTTACATACAGCTTATGTCTGTCGGCATAATTAGCATACACCACGGCACTACTATATTTAAAGTCTTTGACCTTCTGATATGATTAAACGTTTTGATTAAGTAAATATTTAACTAAACGTGTAATGTGACTGAATACGTAAAGCTAATGACTGTACCATAAGGTTAACTAGAAAATAGAGAAGCAATGATAAATAGTCGATATATCCTGTATAGCCCCCTGAATGCCCTGGTACGGCCGAGAGTGGGGAGAGTCCGCTCTCCCTCTCGAAATACTCTCACACGGCCACGCGTATATAGCCTCTGCCAGGGAAGTCCTACTCATTGCCTTCTCGTGGCGGGGGTGTTGTTTACGAAAATGAGAGGACGAAAAGCGAATGTCCGGCGCTTTAACCGGATTCCAAACCAATGGTGCACATGGGCTCCAGTATCCTGCGGGAACGAATGGCGTATGAACCAATCGTTGGTCACCGGCTACCATGGGACTGCATCTCCTTACGATGCTCCACTGCCTTGTGGGTTAGACCTTTAGGTCAAAGGCTCGGGGAGTGGCCCCCTAAGAGAACCACCTGCTTCGGTTTGGGCACCCGGGCAGTATCACAGCCCACACACAAATGATGAACTCTATGTCCATGGAAATTACCTTTGTCGCTTTGAAAAGCAATCAATTGATTCAAATTATGATCACTACAATTATTGTCATTATTAATACTAATATTATTACTACTATTATTGTCATTATTGTTATTATTATCATTATTATTATTATTTTCCACATTATTCACCTTCTTTTATACTTATACAGCGGCTCGTCTTTGGTGGAATTCCGACTGTATCTAAACGTTCTCGAGTCACTGTCCGGTTGTAAATTGTATGTTACCACCGAATACGAGGACTGAAGCAGATTTTCTGAAACCACGTGCATCATTCAAACTGGCTGCCTTCAACGTTCGCACATTTATGCAGGTCGGACAACAGATAGGGCTGGCTATGTCTTTGGAAAGTCTTAATATCGACGTGTGTTGTCTATCCGAGACCCGTATTCAAGACTCTGGCGAAGTACTACAAATTCGATCTCCATCTGTCGCTTCGAAAAGCCTGTTTTACGTGCGCTTATCCGGGGACCCTGTGGCATCTTCGTCTGGTTTTGCTGGCGTTGGTGTCGCACTAAGCGCTAGAGCTGAGGCAGCACTAGTCGATTGGATCCCCATTAACAGTCGGTTATGTGCTGTTAGATTAGAAAGTTCCATCAAAGTGAGAAGAAATCGGCGTGAGAAACGATGTCTTTTCGTCATCTCCGCCTATGCCCCGACAGATTGCAGCCCGGATGCAATCAAGGATGAGTTTTACCACCAGTTATCAGTTCTTCTCCAGAAAGTGCGTTCGACAGATATTGTAGTACTAGCCGGAGACTTGAATGCTCAGGTCGGGCGTCTAGGCACAGAAGAGAGTCGTTTAGGTGGCCGATGGGGACTCGTTGGTCGCAGGTCAGATAACGGGGACCGTCTACTGCAACTTTGCGCAGACCACAACCTGTTTCTGGCTAGCACTAACTTTCGGCACAGTCATCGCCGATGTGCCACCTGGCGTCCTCCCTCTGCATCTCAAGCCTGGACTCAAATTGATCACATCGCGATCAGCTACCGCTGGCGTGGTTGTGTACAAGACTGCCGCTCCTTTTGGAGTACCTATCTGGACTCTGACCATGCCTTGGTCTGCGCCAATCTTGCCTTACTTTTCAGTGGACAACGAAGTGAACGCCATCAACGGATTGATGTTAGCAAGCTGGTTGCAACTTCTGTTGCAAGTAAGTATCGAACCGAGCTAGCCTCTAGGCTAGCTACCACTCCACCGAAAAGTATAGATGAGCATTGGTTGCAATTGCATGACGCCATGAAAATGGCGGGAACAGTCAGTTGTGGGTTTGCGAAACGTCCCGCTTTTAAGCACTGGGTTTCTTCTGGTTCCTTACAACTCATTGAAGCCCGTCGGTCTACTCCGGGTAACCGTGGGTTTGACCATAAACGAAGGATTTTACGTAAGGAAATCGGGCAAAGCTTGCGTAAGGACCGAGAAGCCTGGTGGTCGATGCGTGCTAATGAGCTGGAAGCAGCAGCTGCATCTGGTAACTACCGGAAGCTCTTCCAACTCATCCGAGCCACTGGCAGCAAGAAGTCTGGTGTGAGTGAAACAATCTGCGAGGATGATGGGATGCCAATCACTAACATCCATCGACGTCTTGGACGATGGGCAGAATTTTTCGAAGGGCAGTTCAACTGGCCTGCTGCTCCGGTAACATCGGTCAGACTGTCCTGCCCTCCATGGCCGGTGACGACTGATCCACCAAATGAGGAGGAAGTCCGCAAGGAACTCCAACTCTTGAAGCGTTACAAATCACCTGGCCCAGATGACTTACCTCCGGCTCTTTTTAAAGATGGTGGTGACTTTTTGACTAAGGAATTGACGACGTTGTTTACAAAGGTTTGGGAACTAGAGAGTGTACCAACGTCATGGAATGAGTCGATAGTTGTCCCTATCTTTAAAAAGGGTTCACGTCGTTCTTGTAACAACTATCGGGGGATAAGTTTACTTCCGATTGCGTCCAAGCTATTGGCTTCCGTCATTCTTCGTAGGTTGTTCAAAACCCGAGAAAGATTGACTCGCGAGGAGCAGGCTGGGTTTCGTTCTGGTCGAGGATGTATTGATCATATCTTCACCCTCCGCCAAATGTTAGAACACCGCCATACTTTTCAAAGGCCAACAATCGTAGTGTTTCTTGACATCAGGGCTGCCTTCGATTCGTTGGATAGGACTGTTCTCTGGGATTGTCTATTGAAGAAGGGTGTGCCTGAGAAGTTTATTAACATCCTAAAAGCCCTGTATAAAAACACCTCAGGCAGAGTGAGGGCATACAACCACCTCTCTCCATTGTTCCATTCGAGCAGTGGGGTTAGGCAGGGTTGCCCAATCTCACCATTCCTCTTCAACTTTGCCATCGATGACATTCTGGAAACAGCTCTGATGAATGTAAGTAATGGTGGTGTGGATCTGTTGCCTGGAGAAAGACTTCTCGACCTTGAGTATGCGGACGATATTGTCTTACTGTGCGATAATGCCCAAGGCATGCAATCCGCACTTAATCAGTTGGCAATCAATGTCCGTAGGTATGGTATGTGCTTTGCACCTTCGAAGTGCAAAGTACTTCTACAAGACTGGCAGGATTCTAATCCTGTACTCACCCTGGATGGTGAGCAGATAGACGTAGTTGAGAAGTTCGTGTATCTGGGTAGCTGCATAAGTGCTGGTGGGGGTGTGAGTGATGAGATCAATGCACGAATAGTGAAAGCCAGAGCGGCTTATGCCAATCTGGGCCACCTTTGGCGCCTTCGTGATGTTAGTCTGGCTGTAAAAGGCCGGATCTACAACGCGTCGGTGAGAGCAGTTTTGCTCTATGCTTGTGAAACCTGGCCTCTCCGAGTTGAGGACGTTAGACGACTCTCTGTGTTCGATCATCGCTGTCTCCGAAGGATTGCTGACATTCAGTGGCAACACCATGTCAGTAATGCAGAGGTTCGGCATCGTGTGTTCGGGCACAGAGATGATAACTCAATTGGTGTCACCATCTTGAAACACCGACTTCGGTGGCTTGGACATGTTCTCCGAATGTCGTCCCAGAGAATTCCACGTCGTGCATTATTTGCCGACTCTGGGACTGGTTGGAAGAAGCGGAGAGGTGGTCAGTGCATGACATGGTGTCGTGGCATGAAAGAAAGCTGCAAAGGACTGGCTTGTGTTGGTCCTTCACGACTCCCTGGTTGGGGTCCGAGAGATGGTGCAACACAGTGGCTAGAGACGTTATCAGATATGGCTCAGAATAGAAGCCAGTGGCGATCCTGCTGTAACCTTCTTTTACTTTCTTCATAAAAAGTGGCTGTGTCTCCTTTACCTGAAAGATTTCTTCTGATTGTACCTCTTCGTCATTACTCTCTTTTTCTTTTGCGTTCCTTAGTTTTTTTTTTTTTCTCTTCGAATTCCCATTGTTTTGTGTGGCGCATATATATTGGCGCTCTCTTGTACCAATATTTATGTGTTCAAATAAAATAAAATAATAAATAAATAATAACCTGTATGACCATAAATGATACAAGTGTAAGTATCATTACCAAGGTTTGACTTGATAATTGCGAATAAATAGAGCATTGGGAAGATTTTTATAAACAAAATATTATATTTTTAATATTCCAATGAGTAGACATGTCAATTGACTTGTTCAGACCTATTATTTGATTGATCGTACATAATATTCTTACATTGTCCCTTTGTACTATTTAACCTTGGATTAGTTTTGATTTGGTTATTTATTCTCTGAAGAAGTGGCTTACACTGAGTCATGAAACATCAGAAAATTTAATTTTTCTACTCATTGGGATATTACAAATAAATTATTTTATTGATACAAGTGTAAATTCCAGGCTGATAGGTTCTAACCTTTGGTTGTCGTTCCACCCCTAACATTTTAATACAAACCAGTTAACGTCTCTCTAGGAGACTGCAGAAATAAACTACTGTTATTCTGTCAAATTTATACTTGTAACAACATCTTTGTCATAACTGACGAGAAAGAATGTTAGAACATGTTCCCTTATTTTATTGTAAAAGTTAAGTTTCAATTATAATCCTGTTTTTAGGGTATTACTGGACCGGTAATATTGAATGGAAAAGAACTTCGAGATTGGACAATGATTCCAATTAGAGATCCGTTTGCTATAGTGAGCACAAACAAAATGTGAGTAGAATATCTTTAGATTAACACTTTTCGCCTTTACGTAAGGGTGACTGTCCTCATGATAAAGTTTTCGACTTGACTGTATTTGCCGTCGAGCGAGTTTCATTTGTGAATAACAATGTAATTATCTCTACGTTCTAGCGAAAAAATGATTTGGTATTTTAATTAGCTTTATTGGAAAGTAAGTTCCTAGACTTAAACCTATACAGTTTTTCAAATGTATGTAATCGTAGTTTCCAATGAAGCATGTTAATTTTCGAATAGAACATGAACAAAAATGGAACGATAAAATATCCAGTTATTTGTTATGAATTATAGAGAATTTACTACTGATGTTTCGAATACGTGATTCTGATAAATAACCTGTTATAAAGGCTTTATCATGGTTTTCTCTATTTGTTATTTTATGCAAAACTACTTTTTGGTGGGGTGATGTATTCAACATAGATTGATTAAAACTGAAAGGTATTGTGAACATAAACAAATAAGAATGGTAGTATTCGAAAATGTCAATTTTTAGCATCCTCCCTCTCCCAAAACTAGCACTTCACTAACCAATGAATTTTCTATTTTTATTTGACACTAACATTAACAGTTCGGAGTGACATGCTGCTCAACATTTTCGGCTTAATCGAATCTGTCAATTACCTCTGATGTTACATGACCAGGATTCAATGTGTTCTAAACGGTGTAAATGTCAGTGTTATAATCCATTAAAGTCTGTCTATCCATTAGCTGTGCACCAGTTAAGGGGAGATTCATAGTATGTGTGTGTGTGTTTATTTAGCTATTAAATAATGATTAGTGTAGAAGGTCATGGTCATTTCAGCTCGTTTGTTCGGGGTTAAATGATGGATTGATGTTTGGATTTTAGAAGCATTCAATTTTATGGGTAAGAGTAGACGAAGTGATTTGCCATACTCAACTTACTGACCAAAACATTTATTGTGTAATGTTTTGGTGAAGTATGTTGATGAAGACCAGTAACTAATTTTAATCACAAGTTCACTTCATATAGATGTCTCAAGATAATTATGTAACTACATTGTTAATCATTTAGTTAGTTGCAACCTAGGAAGTTGCACAGATCTGCATCAATCGAAGTTGACACTTCATTACTAATCTGTTAGTGTTTTTGTTTGATTATGGAGCTTCACTTAGTTGACTCTGAATTTATTGAAACATTACGAATTCCGTTGATGTTTAATTTCATCATTTTTTCAATCCTAAAAGTATGAATAAGTACCTTAACTGGTGATGCCGTAGTTGAGATTGTGTGAGTATATCATTTGTCGATGCCAAATAGTATTTGAGTGATACATAGGACTCGTCACTATTATAATTTTACCATTATATTCTTTTATGCATAGTGTACATTTCTACGCGCATAATTTTACTGTAGAAAACTTGTGACATTCAAACTTCAGAGCTAGTTCACAGGAGCAAAAGGACAACGATTTCTATGTACATGAAACATATATCAGAAATTTTACTAAGCTTAAGTTTATAAACACAATAGATGATAAGATGTAAATAATTCAGAACATCTGTCCTCTTGAAAGAGGTTCTACTGACAACTGGATAAATGAATATGAGAATATGACAATACTTCTGTCATAACCTGTTGAAAATAGGAATCCTGAGGTTTATACTAATGATCCAAGTTATAGTTATATGCATCTTTCTAAGCAGAAGTTAGATAGTCAGCTTAAAAGTAGTATTGACCTGATTATCATCTACATTTATTAGGCTGAATATTTTCTGTAAGTCCCAACTACAAATATTTCCTCACAGGCGTAACGAAAAACCTTGCAGCTGATTCGGTAAATTTATGAATTGGTTTTCTATTGAAAGTGAGAAGGATGAATCGACAACTTGCCGAAGCAAATGTCTTCAGATCATAATATCGGAAATTCTTATCCAATCAATTCCTTAACACTCGCTTACTTCAGACTTTTTTGTTCTGTTATCAGATGAATGATTTGTTATAAAGAAAGGTTTTCTAATTTACTGACTAGTAAAATGACCTTTCAGTTGTGTTGTCAATTGGAGAATAATTATTAATATTAGGCAATCAAGCAAATCATATTTCCAGTCCAACTTTCTGAGGAACGTTTTCTGTCCAATATTAAGATCGCGTTACCAAGTTGTTTCGTGTGAATTAGTTTTCATGATTTGAAGTTAGTTTCTTGCACCGAATCAATCTTTTCCCAATGTCTGAAGTCATCATTAGTTCTTATTCAGGACATGTTATCTACAGAATATATGTGGTATAGATTGGTTCAGTAGGAGGTTCATTGTCTTTAAAATACATTGAAACATTTTGCTCAGCAATCACTAATGTTTACTAGTTTCTTAATCAACTTGAATTTTAATTGAAATCTGGATTTAATGTCATCAGACTTATTTCATGTTGTTGTTTTAACGACTGTTTATCTATTTTAAAAGGAAACATTTTCTGTCAGAAAAGAAGTGGCCAGTACCTGGATCTATTTATCATGGGGCATTCATTGTTGAGGATTTGGGAGATACTTTCATCCAACCTGATAGCTTTGTGAGGGTAAGGAAGAGGTTTAATATTTGAATTTAAGATGTAAATGTAAAGGTGTGTCTAACAGTCATTTACATGACAAACTATATTCACAAAACATGAATAAGCTTTCCTGATTACTTTCATTCTTTGAACATCGACGCAAACATAAAAATCTGTTAACTCTCTTTAAAAGTTGATTCAATTGAAGAATTACTACAAGAGAGTGGTTCATTCTAATATGGTCTTTATAATTTTACTCTGATATATCTTACTAACTACTGTCTTCATTTTTATCGCCTTCTTCACTAAATACATGATTAACGTATTACAACACGGTATCAAACTGACATACGCTTAATTTTAGATAGCTTTTTTAGTAAGACAGACAGACACTGGCTGTTTATAAGATACGATTCCAATCTTTATCATAAGCGCTTCTCATAGACATTTGATTATGACTTTAACAACTTCAGAATCCATCTTGTTATCCTAAGAGAACAGTCGACAGGTGCAGGAGCTGTTGAAAGTTATTTACACAAATAAATCTTGACCGTTTTGTGAAATTCTGTGTAGTGAGTTCTTTCAAATACAAAAGAGAAGCTTTCAAAGCATAAATCGAATTGTTTTGCAATGAAGTGAGTGGCCTTAAACGTCTCGTCTGTATCAATTTTTTTTCGAATAACAGGCAAAACTAAATGTGCAGCTTTTTGATATTTTGATGTGAAATCTTGTCGACTACATACGGTAATGTCTAATAGCAAGTCAGAAAGCGTTAGCTATTTTACTGAAGTGTGTTACTTTACCCCACGTCTTTATGTGATTATAAGCAGCCTTTCCGATTGGAGTATTTTGTCGGTGTCATTGTTGTGGAACAGTGGTTCAAAGCTGTTGGTGAATAAATACATATCTATTTTAAATGTCGTTTAACTTCAACTCCCATGTGTCGGTTCCGTAGTAGAATAGATATCAGTGCTCTAAACAATATGTTAGATGAATGAAATTTAATAAAAATTTAACAGATTGATTTGGACACTCCAAAATAGTCTGGTAAATATTTATTCTGATCACTAGATAATGTGTAACTTGAAGCTTTTTGCCACATACCCACAGGAATGACGACCAATGTTGTCAGACTGACATATCTTCTATTCATTCGTAATTATGAAACTGGGATTTTTATTGTCATGAAATCTAGGTTCATAATCTTGTTTTGTTTCGTTCATAGGGAATAATATCGGTTAATGGTCATCATGTAGGACGATTTGATCAGCAACAAGGACCACAGTTTCGACTGTATGTACCGAAAACATTTTTAAAACTGGGTAGAAATCATATAACAATCACAGAATTACGAGGTCCTATAAAAGATAATGCACATCATGTCCATATTACATTTCATGATCAAATGCTTTGGAAGTAATTATTTATCATTTTGTGAATGCCAGTTTTAAGCCTTACAATGTATTAATTGGACAAAACTAATTTTTGAATTTCTTTTATTCATTATTATTTTTATTGCTGCCTATTAATATACACAATGAACATTGCGCATTTGTTAGATTCTCGTTAGTTTCTAAATGTCCTAAAAGTACATGTGTTTGCGAAAATCATTGTCTTACATTTTCCATAATTCTGGTCATTACAGTCATCTTTTAAGCAGTTTGAGGTGCTTGTTTATGGAAATAAAGAATAATTGTTTAGATGTTTGATTTGTAATGGGAATTATTAAGGGTGGATATCTTGTGATCGAATCTGAGACCATCTAATAATCATTTTTAGTGAACAACATGACCGTGAATTATGCCAGGTATTCGGCCGTTAAAAATAATCAATCTATCGTATGAGGAAATGTGTACCTTCTATTATGATTGGGAAAACATTTTTGTAAATGAAATGTTCTAAATTTTATTTTATTTGACTCCAAAACACGTTTACATCATCTGCTAAGTTGGCACTCAGTTTTATCATTGAAATATTCTAACGTACCTGAGGGTAAGCCGCCGGACACATACCGACATTCAAATAGATGTAAACCAACCAGCAACAGGAGAAATCAGCAAATTCATCAGGCAAATCAATAGCGTCAAACAGCAAGACCAGAAAGCATACCAGCTGAAGCACTAGAGCAAACTATTAAAATGTTAGACGTTTTGGAGGAAGAACACATACCTTTGAACTGAACGGGAAGTTACTTCATCAAGATATCAAAAAAGGATTCCTTAGTACGTTTGAGAACTACTATCAGTATCTCGAAAAGTTTTCAGCAAATTGTTTTTTAAGTGAATGGATGATTCAGTGGACGCTCAACTCTGGACCGGTAGGCTGGATTTCGTAAGGATTGATCTTTTACCTACGAAATTGCGATACTCCCAATCATAGCTAACCATTAGTTGAATGGAGCTGAACGGAAGTAAGGGTTGTGAGGTTCTGATCCGGTAGCGAGTGACTCGAATTCGGAGATTGTAACGATTAATTCGTAACTCAAATCCACACAGAAAATTTTGTGGTGTTTATCAACTTGAGTTTTTCCTACCTCTTAAACCAACACCTCGTTTCTTCACGTTTGTTAAAAAATTTCAAAACACAATAGCCTGTAATATTCCGAATTTGGTTGATAGCCATCTATTTTGGAGTTCGTCACTGAGATGATTCAGACGAAGCACTTGTCCAGTAAAGATTCTGAACTTTTAGGCAGATTCTTTACTGTCATCCTTGATATTTATTTAATCAATCCTTCAAACATTAGTTTCTTGGGAGAGTCATTTTCAAGCATATATCAGAGAGAAGGCACTGGTCAGTAGTACACATTGTTTTTTTATTTATATGATTATATGCACTCAACATTTTGGCCTGTGTACCTTTGCACATAATGTTATTCTGATTAAGTCACCATGTGTTGATGCGTCGCTTGTGTGGAAAAGGTACAAACGTATTTTTACACTTGATAAATTCTTAATAGAAGCGAACCATTTTTATCGTACTGTTGTGGAAATTTGAGTTATGACGACGCTTTTTTATTTTTCATTCAGATAATTATTTTGATTGAAATCTTCAACAGATGAATGTAAAACATTGCTTATTACCGAAAGTTTGTGTTCGTGTTTTCTCTGACAATGTAATTGGAAGCGTCTGCTTCGACCATAATTTTAAGACTGAACTGTTAGCAGCATACCGGAAAGTAATGTAATTACACTGCCAAACGATTTCTGTTATCCAGTAGGGCAGTTCCACCTTACATTCCGGACAAAAACTGGTTGATAAGTTGTTCCAAGTGATGAAGCTGTACTGCTAAATTCCTGTAACAACTGACGAAATCAAGAATGGGATTAAAAATTGTAAATTAGACGGTCATGTTCTATTGCACGTATATTTTTTAAATATCGATGTTGTCTGTCCTTACTAAAAAAACTACGATTTTCCGATTCCATGAAAACTGTATAGATCTCTTTGAATTATAACCCAATTTGAGATATTTAAGATAACGGAGCAATAAATCAATCCCCTAGCAGTATAATTGAAATTTCGCAGTAGAAAACTCCATACTTGATTATTTAACAGCCTTAAGTGTTGAGTCGTAAATAAGCCGTATTTTACCAGCCCGTTTGAAGTCTTGACCTTGAGGTTGATTTAATCTCGCAAGCGCGGGTTATGACTTTTCAACATTCTAATCACACGACAGAATTTTTGAAGTATTTATGTTCAATTGATTCGTGCTATTTATCAAAGCATTTTGTAGTTACACTTCCTTTAATTACCAAATGCTCTATAAATGGTCATAGCGAATTTGGAATACTTTATCATGGAAAATATTTTAGGTGAAGCTATTCTTTCTGAAACACTATACTATAGTTTAAATAGCGAAGGGATGTAGTAGCACTGACCTAAATACGAGCGAGTTGTATGCAGCCTTCTTGGTTGGGCTCCGCGTAACCAATGGTTGGAGAATCTGGGTGACATGACCCAAAATCGATCACAATGGCGTAGGTGTATACACTGTATCTTCCCTTAAACTATGAGATTAAAATCGCTTTATAACTTTCTTTCTATGACCTAATTCTTTCTTCCTATACTATGTCCTTATATGCAATCTTTCTTTTATATATTACCACCTGTAATAAACAATTTCCCAAAGATTCAACTCGAAGCTAATCTCTAGACTGTCGAGTACAGAGTCTTGGTTTAGCCAAAGTCAGAACAAGCAAGCTATTTGGCTAGATAAACTTTATCTGTTTCTAAAACATAAATTAACATCGTTAGTGTACAAACAAACAGTACGGTCTATTAATACAGGGAAAAACAGAGACAAATAACATACCGAACAGTAGCCAGAGAATAGGAAAAATGAGTCAACAAGCCAATATTGTTTTACAATGAACATTAAACTGTGATTGGTTAATAAAGAGATACAGTCGTACAAGGTCAAAAGGAGTTGATGTGGTGGTGGGCGTTCCCCTTATTATTGGTGGGTTCGTCTATCAATCACATTCTACACTCCCCCGAAACGCGAACCACGTCCGTTGTCCAGGGTCGTCGTCGCCGTCAAACAGCCGGCTCCTTCTAGTAGACATAAGCGTCGTACGTCCCGAGCAGTTTCTTCGTTCGCGGTTCTCAATTTTGCCGTACGAACTTGCCCGTCAAAGCCATAGCTTACTTGTTCGACAATAGCTTTGGACCATAGACTTCTCAGTGAGCCAACATTGTTTAATAACACTAAGTCTCTCGAAGACTCATCCATCAATACCTTCTGAAACAATAGTGATCGCAGAATTCTTCTTATCGACTTTATGATGCGTACCCATACACCGTCTCGTTGACTAGACCTCGGAAGTTTAAAGCGCCATTCACAACCTCTCTCTCTGAAAGGGCATTTACTGTCTTATTCTGATACCAACTACACATGATCTGTCTAAGAATAGCATTGGATCCTATAGAACTACCAGATGCACCCTTACTCTTGTTCACAACTCGTACAAGGGTGCCTTTCTCAACACCATCCTCGATACCACGGCGAATATGTGCTACCTGCTTCTTCAGGGTCTTAGTTACTGGCTTCTTCGTTACAGTGGTCTTCGGCCTTTTCTTAGTCTTCACTTTCAGTTTGATGTCCTTTTCCTTAAGCTTTCTTAGAGTTGATTTGGATTTATTAGCAGATGATGCTTCAGTTTTTGGCTTAACAATCTTATACTTAGTTAATAAAAACGAACAATGAACTTGACGAGAGACATCTTCGGAACGAGTATACTCCGCGACACCATATGCAGATTCTGATGATGCTATACGATCTTCCACAGACATCGATGAAGTACGACTAAGTCGGTCTTTGAATTCAGTTGAATACGATTGTTCAAACTTATCCTCTAATTCCTCTTTAGCTGAGAGGTGATTGAGTACACGATTGCTTTTACAGGGTTCCCCATAGGAACCGAACAGCGTCCAACCTAACAGAGTCTTCACGGCGAATGGTTCATTCGACTTTCCAGTTCTTACCTCTTTCATTTCGTGTACACTCGGTGCGTTGCACCCGATCAACAGTTCGACATTCTCATCCTCTACTCTAGGAAAACTTATGTCTTTTAAATGCGTCCAGAATTTCATTTGAGACGTCGTTGGTACCGTCCTGCGCAACATAGGTAATCTCTCGACTGTCCATACGTTTGGGATTCTAAATGACGAAGACGAGTCTAAGGAGGAAACCTCTAGTTGAACCTCTTTACACTGAATTGTGGAATGGTTACCCAACGTTTTCAACGAAATCGTCTTAGGCTCTCCTTCTAAATTCAACCCTTTAGCTAGATCTTCTGTAATAAGAGAGGCATCCGACCCACTATCTTAGAAGGCGCAAGTCTGTGCTACCTTTTCTCCATTTCTTACCAGTACAGGCACCATTGCGAATGCTGCTTGTTTCTGTACACGCTCAACACTTCTCCGTACATAGCTGGATGTTAATGTGTGCATCAATATTAGTATTCCTTGGTTCTTCCCGCAACTCGTGTAACAGGGTATGGTGTCTCCAGCCACACCCTTCGACAGCACACGACCTCGGCGATCGACAGTTTTTGCTACGTGGTTTGCCTTCAGGCATACATTACACAACTTGTGTCTAAGAACGAATTCCTTCCTTTCTCTAACATTCTTGTCTTTAAATTTCTGACATTGATCTAAAGAATGATTACTGGAGCACTCCAAACAAGATGAACTGCGTAAGAGAGCATTATCATCACTAGCACTCGCATAAGATATTCTTGCTGCATTGTAATCTGTACTAATTTTCCTTTTTAAAACACCAACATCTCTATTGTCACTATTACTACCGCGGTTGACGAGTAGGCCGTATCTAGTATTAGCTATATCAGCTTGCTCCTTTACAAACTCAACAAGATCAGTGAACAGAGGCTCTCTGCCTCCTCTGATAATCTTATAAGCTACCTTTAGCCACTCTTGTTGAATGTGGGTTGGTAATTTCAGAACCATAATTTCAATAGTTCTAGAAGAGTTCAAATCAGAAACGTAATTCATCTGTTCGAGAGTCAAACTACATGCTTGCATTTCTCTAGATAGTCTTCTCAAACCATCTGGTTGATTTCTCCTTATATTGGGAAAGTTTAACAAGTTATCGATAAACGTGCGTGCTACGACGTGTTTTTGGCCAAACGTTTCCTCTAAAAGCTTTAGGGCTTGATGGTAACCTATCTCTGGTTCT